GACTTGGTGGTGTACAGAGACTTTTGAAAGCACCGATACTAAATGCAGCTCATTTGGAAGTGTCAAGCACTGAGCCCACAAGGCCCTGTACTGATGCAGGATAGCTGCATCCTCCCCCTGCCCTGCTTCAAGAGACAGCTGTAAAGGCTTCAGCATGCTCTCAAATCCCTGTGTTCTGCGTATGTGATAGATACTTCTCTATATGCTGGTATAGCTCTCAGAAAAACATTACTTTATACTACTTTTAAGGTTTACCCCAGTTTTATTAGGTGCCTGCTCTGCAAACAGAGATGCCTTTTTTGCACAATTCTGCCTTTGTACCACACATCTCCCAAACTCTATCCTCCTCTTAAGACTGATTCTCCCATATTCTACAGGATAAAACCCCAGCAAAGGTTTTTCTGAGGCTTTGGCAGGTTGCTTTGGGGGTGGATGTGAACCTTGAGAGGACAAGTTCAGGTGGACCTTGATAGCACTTTGTAACCAGGTACTTTGTCCTTTCATGCCAGCAATGAATTATTTTTAAGTTATGTGGTTTCAGAGCTTTAAAAACACAAAATCTACCTCTGGATGGTAGAGCTAAGTTTTCTTTAAGTGCATCTACCATATTAATCGTATTTATGAGCTTGAATAGGCTCAATTCTTACAAAATAAGGTAATTTCTACTTCTTTTGCTTTTCAAAGCACTTTTCAAAAGTGTTTTTTCAGATTGTCTTCCTTCCACAGCTTTTGAATGTCTTGGTTTTGGGACCAGAATCCTAAGAGGGAGCAGGGAATGCCACTTTCTTTCTGTTGAGATGCTCTTTGAGTGGCAGATGCTCCCACGCCTCTTCGGCACGCTCTCGAGTTCCCCAGCCATGTGTCAGAGCAGGGAGAGGCTCCCTGGCCGGCGGGGCGGGAGGTTTGTCCCGCCAGCGCGCTGCCTTCCTGGGGACGGGTTTGCAGCAATCCATTCACTGGGCGGTTTTGTTCTGTTTCAGGCCTCAAAAAGAGGGAAGAAAATAGTTTGGCTTTTGTGTTGTGGATTATTATGCTATTTAGTTGAATTGTTTTTGATACCTTTCTGGTTCTCAGCATTTACTGTTTTCATAACTTGAAGACAGGATGTTAAGAATTAAGTGTCGGTTTTAGTGTAAATATTTGTCCAGCACGAGCTCATATTCCCATCTAGTCGATGCTCTTGAGTGCAGCAATAAGATGCAGTTATTTTTTATTATCACTTTCACACTGTAAGCTGTAAATCTGCTGTATACTCTGGTCTTGGATATGTAAGATTATTTTGTCTTTCCTCTCAAATTCCCTTTTTCCAGCAGATTGCAGG